GAGGCTTTGTGGGGGATCTGCTCGTGGTTGGGGTGGCTGCCCCCCTCTCATATCAAGAGATGGGAAATAGTGCTGACGTCAATTGTTGCCATGGTGACACAGCAACCCTTTCCCTGCCGTCTCCATGGAAACATGGGGGGTCCATCTGTACTTCAATTCGCCCCCTCCTTCTAAAAGGGGGTCCCTTAGGGAGGGGCTGGCTAATAAGGTATCTGAGAGAGAAGTCAAGGAAGGCAGCAATTCAAACATCTTTTTCTGGTCCCTTGTCATTGCTCAGGCCCAGAGGCTAAGGCTTGGGAGCAGGAGGTCTTGTACCATAGTCTCTGGGCAGCTCTACCCTTGAGAATGAAGCACGTAGCACTGCCTTTCTAACTAGGGATTTTTCTAGAAGCTGTCTCTCCCCTAGGCTCCAGATCCAACCCTCCACAGACTGGTGACAGTATCCTTGGCTGCCTGGCTCTATGCTGCCCCTTGAAATCAAAGGTCAGAGGACCAGCAATGGCAGCCTCACTTTTTCAAAGGTTAGCTGAGTCCAGCCTCCTGTCTGGCACTATATAGATATGACCTTACCAAAGCCTCGCAGGGCGAACATAACCCCCGGCCCTTTCCAGATATGGACACGGAAATTCAGAGAGGCTTAGATATCGGCCCAAGGTCACACAGTGAGTGGCACAGACAGGACTTGAATGAAGGATTAGAGTGGAAGCTGGAGGCTTTTCTGCATAGGAGGAAGGAACAGAGCAGAATGGAGCCCTGCTTAGTCTGTTGTCTGCAGAACAAAGTTCAAACTCCTCTGCTTGGGCCTCAAGGCTTCCTTGATGTACCTTTTCTTCTGTTGACCTGTTCCTTGAGCAGTAGTGTGGACTCCCAGCATGCAGCATGGTCTGGGCTTGAGGGGGTGAAAACTTAAATTCCTGAACTTGCTTTCCACCATCCTGCCTTAGAGCCTTTGCCCACAGTGTTTTACCTGGAATGTCCCTTTCTCTGGCTCACTGGCGTTCTAGAGCTAGTTAGCCACATGGTCTGTCTTGGCAAGGTCAGTGCCAGAAGGCAGCGTCCCTTACGAACCAAGTATATAGGAGGTGATAGGAAATGCTTATGTTATAGGGTATTTTGTTGTTACTGTTCTTGTTTTTTAGCATTGTTTATTTAGTATTTTTATGGTCTTTTTAAAAGAAGGTTGAGACAAGGGCAGGACAGGGAAGGATGTACCAGAGATGAGAGAAAAAAAAGGGAGAATGAGAAGGATTTGGCCTTTCAGGGCTGGATGAGTCTACAGAGCCTAGCATTTAAGGACCACCTGGGAGAGCCTGCGTGGAAATCAACAAGGGTACTTTAGTTGGGTGTGGTGGTGCACTGTAATCCCAGCTCTTAGGAGGTGGTCGAGTGCCAGGCTCAAAACCTGCATAGAAAATCTGTCTTAAAAAAACAAAAAGGGAGGGCTGGAGAGAAGGCTCAGAGGTTGGGGGCACTGGCTGCTCTTCCAGAGGTCCTGAGTTCAATTCCCAGTCAAATGTATACATAATAAATAAATAAATAATCTTAAAACAAAACAAAACAAAACAAAAAGGGGTTGGAAAGATGACTCAGCAGTTAGAGCACTGGCTACTCTCTCAAGGTCCTGGGCTTGACCCTCCCTCCGCACAGCATACAATGGCTCACAACTGCCTGGAACTCAGGTTCTATGGGATCTAAGATGCTCTTCTGAACCCTGCTGACAGCGCCTGCAGCAGATATGCATGGTGGAAAACATCCGTACATATATACTTAAAAACAAATCAGTTTTTTGAAAAGTGAATAAACAAACAACCATTTAACAGCAATCAGGAGGCAGAGGCAGGCAGATCTCTGAGTTTGAGGCTAACCTGGCATACAGAGCAAGTTCCAGGAGAGCAAGAAAAACCCTGTCTTGAAAAAAATTTTTTTAAAGGATGGGTTGGTAGAGTGTTTCCTTAACAGGTGTACCGCACTGGCTGGATCCCCAGCAACAAATCAAACTGGTAGTGGCACAAGCTGACAGCTAGCCTTGTCTACCTAGTGAATTATTTATTATTATTATTATTATTATTATTATTATTATTATTGGTTTTTTGAAACAGGGTATCCCTGTATTGCTTTGGAGGCTATTCTGGAACTCGCTCTGTAGACCAGGCTGGCCTCGAACTCACAGAGATCTGCCTGCCTCTGACTTCCGAGTGCTGGAATTAAAGGCATGTGCCACCAACACCAGGCTATTATTATTTTTTTATAAACAAACAAGCCAACAAAAAATTAAATTGCCTTTTTCAGATGACCATGGGGTCTGAAATATTCTATCAAGGGGGCTGACCCCACCTTGTGTGGGTCAGGGGAAAGATACTTTAGAAATTTACTCAAGATCTCAAGGGGCTGCTGATCCAGCTAGATCTTTGGGTTGCATATCTTTGTTTGTTTTTTAGATTTATTTATTCTGTATAGTATTTGTCTGCATGTATTCCTGAAGGCCAAAAGAGGGCATCAGATCTCACTACAGATGATTGTGAGCCACTATATGGTTGCTGGGAATTGAACTCAGGTCCTCTGGAAGAGCAGCCAGTGCTCTTTTTTTTTTTTTTAAGATTTTTAAGATTTCATTTATTTATTATGTATACAACATTCTGCTTCCATGTATATCTGCACACCAGAAGAGGGCACCAGATCTCATAACGGATGATGGTTGTGAGCCACCATGTGGTTGCTGGGAATTGAATTCAGGACCTCTGGAAGAGCAGTCGGCGCTCTTAACCTCTGAGCTCCAGCCCGCAGCCAGTGCTCTTAACCACTGAGTTATCTCTCCAGCCCCACATATCTTCATATTTATTATTTATTTATTTATTTATTTATTTATTTATTCCTTGGTTTTTCCAGACAGGGTTTCTCTGTGACTTTGGAAGCTGTCCTGGAACTAGCTCTTGTAAACCAGGCTGGTCTTGAACTCACAGAGATCCGCCTGCTTCTGCCTCCCCAGTGTTGGGATTAAAGGCGTGTACCACCAACTTCCGGCCCCATATCTTCATATTTAAAGAGAAAAAAATACCCCAACAAATTATAGGGACTGATGTAGTGGCATATACCTGTCATTTACTTGGGAGGTTGAGTCAGGGAAATCAAAGTTAAAGGCCAGCCTGGGCTACAAAGTAAGATTCTGTCAAAAACAAAACCTAAACTAAAAATCCAAAATAATTACCATCACTACCATCATTTCTATAGAATGACAACAGCAAAGTTGGCATGTGTTCCACTTAAATGGGCTCCTTTCTTGGGAACCTTTCTGTCATGGCTCCTGCTGTGGAGTGGGGGTTTCATGGCATTTAGTGTGAGATGGAATAAATAGTTGTATGTTCCAGCATTACCCATTATTCGGGAAACCTTGGGCAAGTCCTTTAATTCCTCATCTATAAAACAGGCAATTAAGAAATTTGTGGGGGAGGGGCTGGAGAGATGGCTCGGTGGTTAAGAGCACTGACTGTTCTTCCAGAGGACCTGGGTTCAGTTCCAAGCAACCACATGGCAGCTCACAACTGTCTCCAATTCCACTTCCGGGGGACCTGATACCTATGACAAAACACCAATGTACATAATAAAAACAGAAAAAATTGGGGGGACAGGAAGGATGGTGCACACCTTTAATTTCAGCACCCAGGGAGCAGAGCAATGTGCATCTCGGGTTCAGAAACAACTTCATCAGCAAAGCTAGCTCTAGGCCCTGTCCAAAAAAAAAAAAAAAAAAAAAAAAAAAAAAAGCCTTGGGCAAAGCAGGTGGGGTCATCCCCTGACTCCTACCTATAGCAGGTCAAGAGACAGCAGAGAGCTGAATCTAATTCTAGCTTGGGAGAATTACATAGACTTGCTGTGGTCAGTCTTTTGCTTATTTATTTTCTACATTGTCCACTCAAATTTCCATCCCTTGCTTCAGTCCTGAACTGCTGTGAACAGCCAGTGTCCCGCAGAGAAACCCAGGCCAGGGAAGGGGAGACTGACAACTGGAGTATTCTGCGGCCGAAGGGGGAAAAGAGTAGCAACCTCCTTGGAAGAGGGTGACAACCCCCTAGAGCCATGGTTCTCAACCTTCCTAGTGCTGTGACCCTTTAATACATTTCCTCATTTTATGGTGACCCGCAATCATAAAATTATTATTATTAATATTTGGTTTTTCGAGACAGGGTTTCTCTGTGTAGCTTTGGAGCCCGTCTTAGAACTTGCACTGTAGACCAGGCTGGTCTCAAACTCACAGAGATCCGCCTGCCTCTGCCTCCCGAGTGCTGGCATTGAAGGCGTGCGCCACCAACGCCCGGCTTTCCAATGGTCTTAAGCGACCTCCTGTGAAAGGATCCTTCGCCCTCAAAGGGTGGAGACCCACAGGTTGAGAGGGAAGCTGGCTGGGAAGTGGAGATGGGTGGAGGGCTGGTCTGAGGGAGGAGGCAGCCCGAGGGACAGTCGGGTGATACTGGGTAGGGCAGAGCAGCCCGTGGGCCCAATCCGACGGATACACATACACGGCCAGCCCGGAGTGGAAAGAACAGTTTATGCTGTGCTTTATTAAAATGTGCATCATTCTTTTATTTTAAAATGTGCATCATTGTCTCGTGCTCGGCGCGTGCGACCTCAGCGTGGTGGCCCGCGGCTGGGGGCGGCCCGCCCGCGCCCC